GGATCTCTTTAAGTACTGTGCACTGGCTTGTCACCCTGCCACCTCATATTGATAGTTTTTAGGGGTTTTTACACACTCTTGCTTTGTTATTTATAGATGATGTTTCAGATGATGAAGTGGCAAGTCACGGGATGTAGCATTTTCACTATAGCAACAGCAGCCAACTCTGGCTGGGGATTTGTTTTGTTTACATAAATATTTTGGTAATGTTTTTAATCCTAAATAAACACTAGTATTTATGTACATCCTGAAACTAAGAAAGTGAAACTGCATCACTGGACCTGATGTGGTGCCCAGTTGAACCACTAACATTACAATATAATGATTTTTTTTTTTTTTTTAGCTGATGATTACTTTCACAAAAACAAAATTAAACTTAGAAATCATCTGTCAATGTCAGTGATAAAATCATGTCATGGTGCCCAGTTGCGATTTTGTGACTTTTCTTTCATGTCATTCATTATCATACACTATTATGACACTGTCCGACCCACAAATGTGTGGGTATACAACAGAGTTTCCCCTTAGTCGCTGCCTGCAGGGGCAGCGGAAAATGGTCACTAATGTAACCTACATTCATGCATTATGTATATGAATTAAAATTCAGTGCTTAAAGAAAACTTAGGCTTATCTTAAAAGAATAGTTTGACACACTGGGAGATAGGAACTGTCTGTTCTCAATATGAAGTTGCCAGGAAGCCAGCAGAGACTCCAGTTCCTGTGTCCACTGCAGTAAACCCCTGTAAAAGTGCAAAATGTCCTTTTTACACTTTCATTTTTGTACAGATTAACCAACAAGCTTCAGAAGTGTGATTATTTACACCTGTTTCCTGTGTTTATACTAATCTAAGATAATTGGCTGGAGATTATTACTGAGTGTATTTTCCAACATGTCCTTTAAGTTAAGCACAATTATGTATAATTGTACTGTAGTGGTGCTGGATTTTCAAGTGTATGTATTTGCCTATTGCTGTCTAGGCTACTACTAGCAATATAGCACAGTCGGCTCAGTGCAGGAGGTGTCAGGTGCAGCTGCCTGTGGTTAGGGGTTTGTCATTGCTTGTGTACAAGCAGCTGCCAGAATCGAAACATTCTGGGGTCTGCATGAAAGGCCACTTGCTTCGCTGTTTTCAGTTCTTACCCTGAGCCATGAAGTACCCTCACTGGGGGGCTGATTAGCAATTATGGAAGTGTAAAAGTAAAATGGAACAAGCAACCCACAGTCAGTAAGCAGTGAAGATCACCACCGGAACAAATATGCTTTCACACCTCCACAGTTAGGGATGAAATTTCATCTGACTTCTGTTATCAGTCACACTTGAAAAGGGAAAGGACATGGTCTGAAATGACTTTGCACAGTACGTCCTATTGTTAATCTTCCCCTAAGCAGTAAGATAAAGGAAAAACATGAGTCACCTCACTGTGCCTGTGTGGTCTTGAACACAACAAGGTTTTCCCATTAATGAAGCTAGAAGAGAAGTAATTTTGTTTTTTCTCTTTGTTAGTTTATTTTTACATGATATAAAGGATCACTTGAATACCTTCATACATTAATTTTTAAAACCCATTTTAGTCATACAGCTGCTATTTGTACTAGGTTTATTATAGATCAATCTTTTTCCAAACAGTCAGTACAATAATATAAATTGGCTAGAAGGTTCAGGAAATAGACAAACCAAATATTCATATTCATTTATGTAAATGCTGTTATTAATAACTTTGCCCACCTCTGTACCCTCTTACCAATTTGGAAAAGCTAAACCCCAAAAGAAAGCCATTAAAGGCAGTGGAATTTCCCCCACTGAGTGAGATTTTCAGGATACCACCATCACTGCAAACTCAGGCCAAAGACTGTTTCCTTTTATTTAACATGTTTTTGCAACAACAAAAAAAGGCATTTGATTAGAGCATGGTACTGGCATGCAAAAGGTCATGACACAGGATCTGATGTAATTTGGACTGCCCACAAACACTTGCCTGCGTATGCATGATATATATGTAAGTCATTCTTCCATGGCTAATTCTGCTTCCACCCACTAGCACTAATCATGATCAGTACACCTATATCTGGCTTTCTAAACTGCCATTCAACACTCTCCAAAGCCTTTTTCCAACCAAATACCATTTACATATGAAAGCAGCCTACAGCACATCATGAACCATGTGTTGGGATTCTGAAAAAAGATAAAGCTATTGCAGCTGCTATTGATATTTACACGTGGTATGTCTTTGTAACAGTAGAGGGCAGTGTAAGAATGGATATAAAACTAAAGTCTAGTAAAGGTCGAGGGCTGCACACTTCTCATGACTCATCTATTGTAGGAGGAAGCGTTCAGTGTGAAATACTTCTAGTGGATAATGATAATGACAGACCACAATTATAAGTTAAGGAGTCACTTTTGTAAGTGGCTGAAAATATCATCCAGTGCAGTTATTATTCATCTGATCGAATATACTACAGATGATTTAGATGATCTTCTTTGTTTTCAGCTCACTTTCACTTATTATCAAATCATTTTGTTAAAAAAAGACAAAAATAATTTAAAAAGCAGCTTTCAAAAGTTTCTTTTGGTTTACACAGAAACTATGAGAGCCAAAAGAAAGATGTGGAAAAGATGCTACCATATGAACACATCTTTTTTACTTCACAGAAGTGACCCCCTGTTACATATAATACAAACAGGACAACATTACATGCTTTTGAATTTAGTACATCTAATACAGTTGAGATTATATTGTCAGTATGAGCACAGTCTGGCCAGCAAACTGGCTCTGAACATAAATGAACATTATAGACTTTCACGTATGTGAATTATGATCAAATAAAATATCGAGCTCAAAGGGCTTAAACATATGACATACACATAGGTGGATTTCTTTACAAGTGTGATATACACGTAATGGACAGTAGAGAGTTCCACTAAACGCTTTATTGGACAGAGTAGGCCCACCAGAAACCAGAGCCTAGCACCCCATGGCTAACACATGTTTGCTCTGACAGCACTCCACCACTGATAAATAACAGAAGCTCTTCTTCAGCCTGCTGGTGCAGTCGCATTCAGCTGCAGCTCTCCATTGCGTCTCCACAGCCAAGATTGAATCTTCCTCATTCATTAGACTAAGTGGATGAGGCTCTCTAATAGGGGCTCCCTTCCCCTCAATAATTGCTGTTGATTGGCGTAAATTAGACCCTAGTTGCCAGACGAGTGATTCTCAACGACGATAATCCGATTCCCAACTCAAACTAATAGGATTTTAACTCTGGCTTTGGCCTAATGT